ACTCTCACTTGAGGCCCCGCCTCAACTTCGCGTCAAACTCATAGCAACGGCGTTCCTCAGACGCCACTAGTTCAGGTGCAAACCTGGACAAACTGGTAAATAGTAGCCTCAAACTCGCCACACGACAAGCCCTACTGTTTAAGCCGGCTAAACTGCTCCCTCAGCTTCTCCCTAGCTGCTGCAGACAAAAACCTCTCCTGAAAAGCATTCACAAATGCCTCCCAAGTACCACCAACACGAGCCTTCTTGTACTTCCACCACTGACCCGCATCTCCCTTCAGTTGGAAAGATGCAAAGTCACTTTCAGTGCTCCGTCCTCGATGCCAAGCATCTCGAACGTCTTACTCATTTGCTTTAGCCACTCATCTGCCTTCAGTGGCTCCTTCGGATCCCCGACAAACTCATCCGGATTAGACCGAAAAACTCGCTCTTCAAGAAAGAAGGCCCTGCCTCAGCTGCCTGATTCCCTGCTCTAAGAATACCAAAAGCTCCCGCTATCTCTTGGCCAAGGCACCCATGGCCTGCTGACCTGCTGGCTCGGCCACATTGACCTGGCCAACTCCTTCCTGCACTGCCGGACCTCCTCCGGTAACGGTACCTCCATGCCTGCTTCGCAGGTCTACCACGCCTAGCACCTCTTCCTCGTCCTGACATCCTAATAAAGGTAACACAGAACATTAGCACATTCATAAATGTGCCGAAACTAAACACTCACGTCCTAATGCATGGACAACTGTAATTCACTCCACGTAAGCACAAAACACATAAGCACTTACGAATTTCCGGATAATGATAGTCCCGCGAGGCGTTACTAGAGTTCCGGTTAGAAACAGCATTGATCAAGTGCCTTTCTAACAAGACTCACAGAAACCCAAGGATCCAATCAACATCCTAGAACACTAAATCCCATACCCACATAGTCACATAAGCATGTTATCAAGTAAGCCACATAGCATATGATACTACATCGAAGTCTCTATCAAGCGAGACAAACCCATTATGATTCTAATCACTTCCCACGTACCCAAAGTATTCGAACCGGTACGCTCTGATACCAAGTTGTAATGCCGGTGAGATACTGTACTTCTTTCACCGAGTTAGGCTCTCCAGATCCTGGATTGCTTTGATCTGGGAGTGGTCTGCCTCTATACCCCGGTTGGTTACAGGAAACCAGGAATTTGCCAGATCCTACTCCGAATGCACACTTGGACGCATTGAGGCAACTTGTGCTTCTTCAGGATCTCAAACATCTCGCCTAGGTCCTTGAGATGGTCATTCTCACTTGCTCTTGACCACCATGTCGTCGATGTAAGCTTCCATTGTTCTACCTAACAACGGTTCAAGCATCTTGGTGACCATCTGTTGGAATGTCGCCCCTGCGTTCTTTAGGCCAAAGGGCATGACCTTGTAACAGTACAGTCCTCTTGGAGTTGTAAAGGATGTGACCTCCTGGTCTGGTTCATGCATGGCGATTTGGTGGTAACCTCTGTATGCATCCAGAAAGCTAAGTCGGTTGTGTCCCGCTGTTAGGTCTACCGTTGATCTATCCGTGGTAGAGGAAAGCTATCTTTGGGCACGCCTTGTTGACTGTTTTATAGTCGACGCAGGCACGCCACTTGCCATTCTTCCTTGGCACTACACGACTGTGTTGGAATCCATCTTGGGTAGTGCACCTCTCTGATTGCTCCTGCCTCCAACAGGTTCTCTACTTCTTCCGCCACTATCTCGGCATGGTGGAGTGCCGATCTACGGGTGCGTTGAATGATTGGTCCTGGCAAGATGGGTGGACATTGAGTTGGTGACTGATGAAGTTTGGATCAATGCCTGGCATGTCGTATGGTGTCCAGGCAAACACTTCGATATTAGAGGTTAAAAATTCCAAGACCTCTAATCTCTTAGTGCTGGACAACGATGAACCGAGCAAAAAGAACTTATCCTGGTTCTTTTCATCTATTCTTACCTCTACCAAGTCCTCCACCGTTTTCTGATCAGCCGCTTTGCCGACATCTGCGAATAGCTCATTGCTCTCAGGTTCTTCCACCGAATGAACGTATCCTTTGGCAACGCGGCTGCCATTCACCGTGACGAAGCATTGCTTCGACATGATCTGATCTCCATAGACTTCTTCAATTACCCCGGTATCGTTGGGGAACCGCATTACTTGGTGGTAGGATGACGCCACTGATCGTATGGCATGCAGCCATGTTCTGCCCAAGTTGATGTTGTAAGTGGAGGGGACCTTCAATACCCAGAACTCCACTTGTTTCGTCACGCTTCTTGCTCTTATTGGAAGAATTATTTTGCCGACGGGCCATTCTGGCATGGAGTTGAATCCAATTAGGGGAGATACGGCAGGCGCCAAGTCTTTGTCTTGCAGCTTTAATTGTTTAAATATTTCGTAGTACATGATTTCACATGAACTACCCTGGTCAATCAGAATCTGCTTGACGTCAAAATCCTTGACTCGGAGAGTGACGACCAGGGCATCATTGTGAGGGCAATATATCCATTCCAAGTCTTTATCTGAAAAAGACATGACGTTTATGGCCTCTGTCTTCCCCTTCTTGATGGCAGGTTGGGCACTTAGCACCTCTCTCAAGTGTTCAACCTTTTTGATTGATCCCCTAAGCTCGCATACACGCTCAGGTTTAAAGACTCCATGTATCACATTGATAATGCCTTGAGGTGGGGCGTCGACTGGCATCCCGTTGGGGTTATTATGGTCCTGGGGGGCTGGTTGCATCCCTCCTTCAATGTATTTATCCAAGTGTCCTGCTGCCACCAACTCCTCCAGGTGCTGTCTCAATGGCGTGCAATTCTCAGTGCGGTGCCCCTTTTCGTTATGGAAGGTGCACCGTGATCTTTTGTCATAGTCCTTCTGAGCTTCCCCAAGCTTAGCTGGCCATCTGACGAAAGGCTCATCCCGTATTTCAATTAGAATTCGGTAGATCGGTTTCTTAAAGACCATGGTTATGGCAGTGCGAACTCTCAACCATCTTTTATCCTGGTCCTCTCCGTTGTCTCGCCTGCCTCGTCCGTTTCTGCTTGGACGATTTACCGCGTTGACCTTTGTTGAGGCCTTTTTTTCTGGCACTACGGTGGTGCCAGATTTTGTTTTGGCACGGGCACTATCCTCTTCCACCCTGATATGCTGATGCACTCTTTCTATCAAGGCTTCCATGGTGAGGGGTGGTGTCATGGTGATCGAGTCCCTTAGTCTATTCCCAACTGGAAGGCCTCTTTTGTATTGTGCAATGGTGAGATTGGTGGGGCAGTCCCCAATCTGGTTGAATGTCTCCTAGTAGCGACTATTGTAGGACCTTAGCGTCTCTTTTTCACCCATGTCGATGGAGAGTAACTGGTCAATCTCCACCGGGGTTTTGGTGTTTGTCCTGAACCTTGTGACAAACGCCTCCGCCAATTGCGCCCAGGAGGCTATGCTACCTACTGGAAGTTTTTCAAACCAAGTCAAGCCTAGATCGCCAAGGCTTGACGGGAAGAGGATGCACATTAGAGCCTCGTTTCGCCGATATACTGCCATAACCTGGCGGATGTGGCTTAGGTGAATGTAGGGGTCCGTTTTCCCCTCGTACGTAGTGAATTTGGGCTGAAGGAAGCCTGTAGGTAGGGGCGCGCTTTGAATTGCCGGAACGAACGGCGAGGTCTGCAGCCTTGCTAATGCTTTGTCTGTTGGTTCACAGGCAGGGCGTGGTAATGGCATTCCAACCTTGACGTTTCCATGCGATCGAGGAGCCAATCGTTGAAGGGCAGAAACTTTGCGAGGGTCGCGCGCCCTAGTATCTTCCTTCAAACGTGCCCTTTCTTCCAGCATGATCCGCAAATCAGATGATTTGGGCAACTCCGTTTGCCTGGATGATGTCTGGTGCGAGTGCGAGGGTCGGTAGGTACTTCCCTCTGTGTAAGACCTCAATGATCTCGTTCTCTCAGACCTGGAGTAACGAGTTCTGGAGGTTCTAGACTGAGTATCGCCTGTCCTGAGGCTTCTACTTTCTGCTTGTGATGGTGTGGAATACCTTCCATGGTCTTCTGAGCGGCGAGGGGGCGTCTTGTTTTTGCGCCCCTCTCCTGTCGCCACTCCTTTTCCCTTCATCGGGCGCTTCAAGGCCTCCATGTCCGCCGCTATCTTCCTTATTAATTCGTCTTGCTCCTTTACGCGGTCCTCCAGAACTTGAGGATCAATCCTCCGCCTTTGCCTATCAGGACTTTGTGAATGAGAGTAATGGGGGCTGTTAGTCCACCTTCCCCTCGTATCCCTCCTGGAGTTATGTCGTTGGGGCTCCAAGTCCGCCATGGGAGGGATAGAAGGTAATCCTTCACGCCTTGCACCCCCATCTGGTGTTTGCCCGTCGATGGCGGACTATGGTAATTCTTCATTGTGCGCCATTGTTCCTCAAGAGGTAAAGCTTGATCAAGAGGTTTTGTCATGTCTGTTTTTCCCACAGATGGCGCCAATTGTACGGGAAAGAAATAAACCTTCTCGTATAATCCTGTTGATCAAGTCTGCGCTCCTCCAAACGTCGTCACTTTACTCCCTGAAAACACAAACGTGAGCTAGCCGGCGGGTGTGTGCCGGAAACCCCTCCGATGCGTAAGTCAGAAAAACAGACAAGTAGACAAGAAGCTCTATGAATTCGAGAATCAAAGTTGTGTTACCTATCCAAAGGTGATGTTTGTGAGCTTTTATAGGTTTCGTGTGGCACAATCCTAGTAGGACTTCTATTCCTCCATGCAGAGTCCTTCTATGATTCATACTCCTAAAGGATAATGCTTATCCTTCAACACCCCCCTCACTGCTCAAACCAAGTGAGATGGCTTTACTATGGCCGAACTACCATACGACCGAAGTAAGCACGGCCCTACTTAGCCAAACTATAATTAGTTTGGTTCTCTGTCCTTTGTTCCTCTTCCACTTACCAGGGTATGCCCAAAACCGAACTATCTTTTTACCAAGGTATAGACCGATCTAGTTTAGCTGCGCCATGACCGGTATACGTTCAAAGCATCCTTCAACCGAGGTAATCACCAAGAGTCCTTCGGACCGGTCTAACTTCTGGCCTTGAGACCGGACTAAATTTAAGACCTATTCAAGACCGGAGTAACTTTTTGGCCTTTTTACTCACCCTTCACACCGAGGCCCATAACAACCCAGCTCGGCCTAATTCGCATATAAATTACCCTCTCAATACACAAAAAATTTTATAAAATTAAGAATTTTGATGAAACAGAACCTATCTTTTCATGTGAAGCTTTTTTTTTTTCTTATGTCTTTTGGCCTTTTATCAGCATCAGTGCCAATCAGACACCATTATCAGTAAATGGACTTCTTGCCTTAGAGAGAGAGAGAGAGAGAGAGAGAGAGAGAGAGAGAGAGAGAAAAAGAAGATAAAAATTTTCTATCTTCTTTTGTGCCAATCACTTAATGATATTTTGATTATAGTCCTTTGTGCAACGACACTGATGTCCTTGAAATTTTCTATTACTTTTTCATTCAATCACACTCATACATAAAATTGGTTACCGTGATGTTCAATGCTGTCATCAGATAGTCGACCTCTTGATGCTCTGCTTTCTTTTTATCGTTGAAGGTTTTCTTGTTGCTCTGTGCTCCGTGCTCTTTTGTCTTATTTTTGATACACTATCTAAAGATAAAAAATAAAAAAGGAGACTGATCATTAATCACTCAATGATATTTTGATCATAGTCCTTTGTGCAACGACACTGATGTCCTTGAAATTTTCTATTACTTTTTCATTCAATCACACTCATAGAGCAACTCCAAAGAGGAGGCAAAAAGATTTATTTTTTTATTTTTTGAACTTGGCAAAATGATTGTATTAGCCATTTTTAGTAATGAGGTTTATTTATCTTCTTCCAATAGGTTCTTCGTCATAAGAATCATTTTATCAATTTTTATTTTAGCTTTTCACAAGTAATTAGCATTCATTGCTAGGCAAAGGATCTTCCTGCAACTGTTCTGGTCCACATCTTTCTTTGTTACTCCTTTGCTCCAGTCCATTGATCACAGGTATAACCCCCTTTCTCCATTATTTCTCTTTCTTATAAAAATATTATTTGAAAAATAATTTAATACTATATTTTTAAATAAATAAATATTTACAAATATCACATCAATAGCCACGTTAACACTAAGTACAACATGTCATAAAAAATTATATTTTTTATTTACGTTTATAGTATTTTTCTTTTAAAAATAAGTTAAATTAGTTTGATTGATTAGTTAAGATAAAAAGTGGGTGTGTTGATTTCTGATCATACTACAAACAGGTACTCAGCTAGAGTACACCGACAGAATAGATTGCGCCCGAACGACCTTAGACCCATGAGGGTGCCTTACTTTTATAACCGACCCTGACGTAATCCCAATAGAAGGTTAGCTTTAATAGACTCTGGCTCAATGCTAATCCTGGACTCCCAGTTAAATTAGGATAAACTTCCTAGGAGTCTTATCACACAATGAAATCTTGTTCATAGACCAATATATAGAATCACAATCAGCATGGGAGTTGCCAAGGACGGCCAACCACAGTGAGGGATGGGGTTTTGACAAAACATTTATAAATTTATGAAAAAAAAAATTATAACTTTAATTATCAAATTTGATAAAGTTTACCACTGAGTTGTACACTGAAGTGCAGTTTCTCTTTTCTTTTTTTTATTGATCATTATTTATATTTTAATATTTTTTGATAAACGTGTGCTCGAACAAATTTTTTTGCACCTCTACTAATTTCAGGACCCTAAAATTAACGACCGAGATATTTGGCCTTTGTGGGATTCGACTATGCAACCTCTTAGGTGGCAAGCCCTCTGGTTGCCTCTCCTTTAACTCTGCGACCATCTTGGGTAGTAAGTCCTTTAGTTGTCCCTCCTTAAATTTGGAAAATGCACTCTATTTAGTTTAAAATTTTAAAAAACAATTTATTTATGTTTAGTAAACCTTTTAAATATTTTATTATTTTTTTTATTTTTACATTTCAGATCCACATAATTTGAATACAACTAAAAAATAAAATGTTGTGAAGAAATATAAACAAAATTCAATAACTATAAAAAAAATATGAAAATGTATTGAATTTTGTATTTTTATTTTTATTTTTTTGTATTAGTGAATTTTTAAAATATTTTTCACAAATTTTGCACTTGTTAACTGTATTTAAATAAGTAAGTAGATCTAAAAGATTAAAATGTAAAAAAAAAAAAAAAAAAGTTTTAAAATGTATGGGATGTTTGGTTTTGGCTAAAATTGTCAATAAAGATTAAAAATAAATAAATTAAATAGCTAATAGAACAAAATGCCACATGCTATACAGGTGCATAAGATTTGAACCGAAGACTTTGGATTTAAGTAAGAAGACTCTTACCACTTAAGTAACATATATATTATAATAATATTAATTTTTTTATTATTTAAACATGATACGATTATCAAATTAATCTAAAAAAAAATTTAAATAATATACACAAAAAAATTTATAAAGTAAAGAATTTTGATGAAACAGTACCTATCTTTTCATGTGAAGCTTTTTTGTTTTTCTTATGTCTTTTAGCCTTTTATCAGCATCAGTGCCAATCAGACACCATTATCAGTAAATGGACTTCTTGCCTTTGAGAGAGAGAGAGAGAAGAAAAAGAAGAAACAAAAGCTCACGGGGTGGCTGACCATAATTCTTTCTTTTTCAACTTTTTGGCTTTTTCCATACAATGTGCCGTTTTGGCAAATAAACAAAAAGCCGGCGTTTTTCAGTACCTTCCCAAAACGTCAACCTTCCCAAAACGCTGATATTCCCATTTGGGAAGAGAACTCTTATGTGATTGATCTTTTCAGATTGTTTTCCTTAAAATTTTATGTTTCAAGTGTCAACTTGATAGCCAAAATTTAAAAAGAAAAATTATGTGCATAATTAATTACATGAAAAAATAATTTCTAGTGTTAAAAAATTTTATGTTGAAACAAACGGAGGTTAAAAAGAAATACATTTACTCCAGTTAGGTATTGTGTTGTTAGGTCTTAGTTTGTTGGGCCTATTTGGAAATCAATTTTGTTAATTTCGAATCATTCATCTTATAACATTTACTGAATATACTATCTATATAAAAAAATTAAGATAATTCTAAGAATTAGATAATATCTAATCATCTTAATTTTTTAACTAGATATTTTGCTCAAGTAGTTCTCTTAAGCTAGTAATTGATATTATCAAGGTAGAGCCACCAAACTCAACAACAGCACGCCCAGCTAGAGAGAACCCATTTCGAACTCAAAAATTAAAAAAAAATAAAAATAAAAATTTATTAGATAGGTCTGCCTCATATTTTACATGATATGTTCTTACAATTCTATTAGTTATAGATCCATTATTTCTTATTTTTTTCCCTATATATTATATAAAACAACCAATATAATTGGAAGGGCACACAGTCTAATTGGAATTCTTGAAAGACAAGATAATTTTTCCAAAACTAAATGTTAGTTAATTGGTTTTTACACTAAATTGCTATTCTAACTCAAAAGTTAAATCCACTTTAAAAAAAAAATAAATTTAAAAAATAGGTTTACATATCATTTTCTATACAATTTTCATTTCAAAATAGTAATTATTTATTGCTTTTGTTTATGGATTATATAGTTCTTTAAGAGGAGCTCATTACACTCTACTATGGATTGCCGATTTTCATTCGATCAAGGCCCAGAAAATCCACCGACATCAGTAATCTTTGGTCCAGAGTACATGGCCACCAATGTCTATCAACATTGGCAAACAGAGGTCAGTGTTTAAGGCAATTTAATGCTGTCGAGTAATTAAAGTTATAAAATCCAAAAATTAATGCAGACGTAACTGAATTAGATTATTTTGCACAAATTCTGCTCTCCTGTAGTGGACCCTACACCTAAAGTGAATCTACACAATATATTATTTTTTTGATATTTTTCTGTGTTTAAATTTTTAATTTATAACATTATTAAAAAAGTTTCACATAAAACTGCACCCAAAAAGAGTTTAAGTGTTATTTTTGTAACTAAACCATTTTAATGGGTATTTTGTATTTTTGTAAGAAGGTGATAAAAAAAAAACCATAGCAAATTATTTTAGATGAAATTTCTTTAAAAGTTAAAATAAAATGACTTTCACATAGTTTTCATATGAAACAAAGTGAAAAGGTTATATAAAAAACCATTTTCTCAAATATATATATTTTTATACTAAACACGCAGAATATACAACTCAAATTAATAAATACATGTGAGAATCATTTTCTTTTTGTTAAAAAAAAATTACGCCCAATTTAATCCGCATCTAATGTAGATTAAATCCAAATGTGTAAATTACAAATACACTCCCTGAGATTTGATTAAAATATGAATCACCCCATGTGGTTTTAGAAATTACATTTCACCCGCTGAGATTTATAATTTCACAACAAATCGCCAATTTTATTAATAAATCATTAAATCAAGTAACAGCCTTTAATAATGTTAGAAATATGTTTCAATTAGTAATTTAGGTAATTTTATTATTGTATAGGAGAGCAATTATGAATTTCATTTTTTTAGTTAATTCTGTTAAATAAAAAATAATAACAATGAGGTATTTATAATTTTCTAAATTACAGGGAGTAATCTATATTTTAAGCAAATCTCAAGGAGTGTATTTGTAATTTACCCGAATCTAAATTATATGCCTATTTTTATGCACTGTTCTTTGTCCCTTTTATTTTTATTAGTTCATACAATTACTTTTATTGATATAAACAACCACAAGAATCAATGAAATGTATATAAACTAAAAAAAAAAAAAAAGGAATAGAAGGGAGTAAGTGGTCTTATTTGATTATATGGCAAAATGGAAAAGGTGAATTGAATTAAAGACGTAACCTTTGGTTAAAACAAATGCATTTATACTATTTTCCTAATTAGGTTATTCAATTGTTTTAATTGAATAACGATAAATATAAATAAATTTCTTAAAATTATTATTATTATTTTTTTTAATTTGATAAGAAGAAAATGGTCATCTCAAATGCAAAATTTTCTTATAATAATGAGATTTGGGCCTAATTGGGTTGGGATTCATGCAGGACCTGGAATTAGCGAAGACGTTAGTGAGGCCCAACGGGATGTTCTTTGATGACGTGGCCAAGGAATCGCTTCTAACAGAAGCGGGATACGGGTCGGTGAGTCGGGTTTACATAGTGTGCGAAGAAGACCAACTTATGAAACCCGAATTCCAGAGATGGATTATTCAGAACAGCCCACCTGATGAAGTCAAGTCCATTGCAAATGCTAACCACATGATCATCCTATCAAAACCCAAGGAGCTTTGCCTCTGTTTGCAGGAGATTTCTCAGAAATATCATTGATTTTACTTGAGTGTTTTAATAGATTAAGCTCTATTTGGTAATCTCTAAATAAACATTTTTTTTAATTAAAATAGTCAAAAGTTAAAAAGTCTATCGGTTTGTTTAGTTATAATTTAAAAACAACTTTTTCATTAAAAAATAATAAATTTGAGAATGTTAGCAGCTAAAAAATGACTTCGTTATTAATATTTTTAAAAACTTCATTGTGTCCCTTTACTTATACTGTATTAATGATTGTAATATGGTAATTTTCTTTTTATCAAAAAGCAAAACTTTGGAAAAATTCTTAAAGAACTTTTTTTCTTAACCAAAAAATAATTTTTGTAACAATTACCTAACAACTTTTTAAAACTATGAAAAAATTGAAAATCAAAAAATTATTTTTAAAAAAAAAAATTTGTTGAAGTCCACCAAAATTGAAAAAAGAAGTAACAGTAGTTGGTTTATATGATGATTAGGCTGTGTGCATCACTGAGATTGTAAAATTATTTTCAATTTTTTTTTATCAGTAAAAAAAAAGATTATATTGATGAAAAGTGAAATACAAAGTATATTACAGCAAATATCATTAAAGTAAGATGCGTGCAAAAACGTCGCAGTGAGTAAGATCATCTCATTTGTTCTTGCTAGTTTGCCAATTTGTTAAAGATGCATTTAAGCCTCCGTTTGGGGAGTGGGTTGGCTTTTTGGCTTTTTGACTTTTTTGACTATTTTAGCCTGGGTTAAAAAGCTTGGTTTGTGAAGGCTTTTTTAGCTTTTTTTTTTTTTTTTAGAGAAGAGTATAATGATTATGGGTTAGATGTGATGTTTTGTTTGTTGTGGCTAAAGTAGCCTATTTTGTCTTTTATGGCTATTTTAGCCACAAACCAACTTGCCAAACACCATCAATTATTTTTAATTGACTAGTTCAAAAAATGTGAAAGGAATTGAAAGTCTCAACCACCTCACCACTCCATACACCGTAACCATCATCATCACTAACATCAAAACTAATGCAATCATTAATATATTAATCTCCAATTTGTAAATCAAAAAAATATTTCTTATGAAAAATGTTCTTTTTTGTTGAAATGAACATAAAGAAATAAATCCAACTTAATAAAACAGATAAAGTAGAAATAAAAGTTGAGTGGGAGGCACTTTAAATGTAGTTTACAATGATATACATAAGCACCTTACCATACTAATTACGACAAAGTTTTTCCAGCATTTACTCAAGCACAAAAGGAAACCATACTGCCACACAAACCCAACATCACCAGGACCATTGCCACACACACCAATTGAGGTACCGAAACAGAGAAAAAAACATAATGTCAACCCTGGGTTGGGATAACAAGAAGAGGTTGGTTCCTTCTTCTGTAATGTGCAATGCTAAACTTCTCCTCCATGTGCAAGTTCTCTAGTTCAATCCCACCTTCACTCTTCCAATCAAATAAGTTTATGAGAAAACCCAACACCACTAGAACCATTCTTATTGCCGCACACGAATTGAAGAACCAAAAAAGAAGAGAAAAAAAATGCACATTGTCAACCCTGGACTGGAACAACAAAAAGAGGTTGAGCCTTCTGTAAGATCATGACAAACTTCTCCTCCATATCCAAGTCCTCCTGTTTAATCCCACCATCAAGCTTCCAATCAAGCGAATTTAAGAGTGAACCCAACATCGCTGAAATCATCCTTGTCGCCAATGGTAGCCCGGGACATATTCTTCGACCTGCACCATATGGAATTAACTCAAAATTGCAGCCTCGGACATCAATGTCCGAGTCTAAGAACCTCTCCGGCATGAATGAGGTGGGGTTCGGCCAAATGCTTTGCTCATGACCAATAGCCCAGACGTTTACTAGCACTTGTGACCATTTTGGGATTGTGTAGCCACAGACTTGCTCGTCTGAGTCAACTTTACGAGGAATTGAGAAGGAAACTACTGGGTGCATCCTGAAGGTTTCCTTAACAATTGCCATCAAGTAAGGTAGGCGTGTAATATCCGATTCTGATATTGGTTTGCCTTTGCCAACTATTTGTTCAAGCTTTCTTTAGAGTCTCTGGATTGTGTAAAAGCTCTGTCATTGCCCACTCTAATGTATTTAAAGTTGTGTCTATCCCTGCTATAAATAAATCCTGTAGCACAATTTTTGTACCAAGTCAGACTAAATAATTACTCAATTCAAATTCAATGTAATAAAAGTAAAGCAAATTATGATGGTAGTCCCTGTATTTTGGTTCTTGTGTCATTTTAGTCTTTGTAATTTCAATTAACTCGATTTTGATTGTGAATTTATCACTTTGTCTCAATTTAATCTAATTAATTCCAACTCTTAACATTTTTTTTTTATGTAGAAAATATGCATATAAATGTTATATGTCATATTTTTAAGGACAAAATTATGAACTTATTCAATTTAGTGAATTAATCTCAAAAAATTTAGTGATAATTTTCTTCAAAAAAACATAAATAATATTATTAATTGGATTAAATTGATATAAAATTTAAAATAAAGAGTCAAAATTGACCCAATTAAAAACATAAATATTAAAATATCATAAAGAGATAAAATATTGTAGGGGGTTCGAGATTAGGAAGATGATTAAAGAGGCAAAACTATGTTAATAGTCCAACAATGGTGGAATGATTGGAGAGTGAGTAGCTAGGTGAGGGTGAAGCAGGAAACTCAAATAGAAATGAATGTCAGTGCACAAATGGGCAAAATCTTCCCCAAGTTTCCAAAATTCTTCTTCTTGGACCTTGGGAAATGAGTCATGTTTATAGTCTTTTTCTTGGTACCAAGAGGACACCAAGTGGCCAAATAGAGAGAAGACAGGTGTCCCTAAGGATCACATAGAATATTCTGCTTTGAGCTACCAAGCTAAAGGTGCCACATGTTCCTGTGCATGTGCCGTGTACTATTTGTTTGCCTCCGCAGCTACCTTTTTAAGCCTCAGCAAGTGTAGTTGCGATGGGAGTGTTTGGCGCTACAACTCTCTTTTGAACCTCAGCAAAGTGCAGTTGCGGCGGGAGTGTTTGCCGTTGCACTTGCCCTGTTAGCCCGAACCTCAGCAAATGCACTTGCAGTGGTAAACCTTATTGCTGCATTTGCCTTCTTAGTTCTATTTAGTTAGTACATGCATTCTTAGGACTTCATTAACCTGCTATCAGCTATGTTCGTGTTCACCTTGGCGAAGCCTCCACCCTTAGCCACCTAACCACAAACTCCCCAGCTTCCCAAGGCGAAGACCACAACTAAGCCTGCTATTAGCCATGTTGTGCCTTAGTACCAAGCCCAAGGGGGCTTCTTTAGTCCTGTCTGTGCGACTAAGGCATGTCCACGACTTGGGTTGTCACGACCCAAACCCGCCCCTGTAGGTTTAGCATCGTAACCGGCAAGTAATCCTTGGATTACCGAAGGCCTCTGAACAGATTAACAAAATTAAGGGGCTAGCGGAAGCAAATACATAAATATAGTTGTCCAATGAGCTGTGCTGACTTATATAAACAAAGTATTTAAAACTTTATATACATATTCAGAAGTCAATCATACATTATACCCACACACATCAAAGTATCTTAAGTTCAGCCAACGATATAACTAGTCAAATACACAAGTAACTGAAACTCATGACAAGTGACACATCCGAAACCTCCACGTGAGGCGCAATGGTTGGCTGACAACAGAACACAGTTCCAGACAAAAGCCTTCGGGCTCGAACTCCAGAATGCTCACCTATATACATATGTATATAAACAATGAGCTAAAGCCCAGTGAATAACATTAAGGTAAAGGGGTTAGTGAACGAAATCCGAACATGTCATAAGTACAAAACAGATCATAGCATAATCATTGTTGTATCAGAACATAATAATGGTACATCCCATAGAACACATCACAGAACGTCTTCCGACTAGAGTAATCAGTTCTGGATATCGATTAAACACATATCACCACAATGAAGTGGCTAACGAGATCTCGTAAACACATGAATGTCATGGACTCGCATTTTCATGCCATCCCCCATGACTTGGGACTATCTATGGATGCCATAACAAATTTCAAATACGGAATATTCGTTCACAAAAACAGATATCATTTCAGAAAACATAGCTTATCACATTTCATTTGGAACATAATTCATATAAACGTATCTTTATGATAACGTTACTCATAGTGGTTCCAGTAAGCGGTCAATCAATCCTCGAGTCTTGACCTACAGTCACAAAATACATAACACAAGCATGTCTTATCATTACACATTCAAGTGGCCATCAAGGCTTAGCTTTCATTACATTGGTTCTTATTCTTTCTTTCACATTGCCTAACACACACACACACTTGCATTCTCTTAACTTAGTACATTCTTTTCTTAGTATGTTTCTAATCCATAACCTCATTACTATGGCTTAATTAAGGCTTAGGAATGCCTAAGATGCAACGAGGATGCCAAAACATGCCTTGGAACACTTGGTAAAATTTCAGAAAATAAGGTCCTCACTCGAGCGTAGCTTTCCTCGCTCGAGCGGACTTGTAAAATGTGACTAGTCGCTCGAGCGCACATTACTTCGCTCGAGCGACCTGTAAAAGATATGAAACTTCTAGGAGCTTGCAATTCACGCTCGAGTGGACTTTTGGTCGCTTGAGCGGAGTGCACGCACTCAGAGTGGTCGCTCGAGCGAGAACTCCCTCGCTCGAGCGTAGATGCAATTTTTGGAATTTCCAGATTGCACCTTCAAGCTCAAAACTCGAATTTAGCCATCCAAAACACCTCTTTTGGGCCCCAAAACTTGAGATAAGATAGTAAACTTGTAAAGCATGATGAACTAAGAATTATTTCATGAAATCATGGCCCAAGAGTTTGTCAAAAACTCACAATTTCAACTTAAAACATGATGAATGCTCATGAACATAACATGCAAGGATTTTCTTGATCTTGAGCTTCTAAAAACATGATCAAATGCCACAAAACAACTTGAAACTTGATGATTCCTGTTAATGAAGATGAATTTCA